GATAGAGAGGGAGAACAATGTGGAATAAAACACAAAATCATTTAGAAAAAAAAAAGGGGGGGGACCAGGTTTGCTGGTACAATAGAGCCTGGTGGAACCGCTGAGATTATGGCCCCTAGCTGCCCTTCAGGTCTGGAATTGAACCCACACCTGTGGTTTCCAGACAAACAAAAGACAGGCATATGAGTTGAACATTTACCTCAGGTAGATACACTCCTTGGAGAGAACAATCATGGGAGAAAGAAGGGCTGCTTACGCACAGGGATACAGCTCAGGGGGCAGGAGTGCATGGAGGGATGGACACAGGGAAGAGGTAACTATGGAGAGGAAGTGGGAGGGGAGCTGTTGCATTGTGGTAAACTGTGATCAATGTCATGAGACAAAGTGTGTGTGTACAGAAAGTGAATTTGCTCTGTAAATCTTCACCCAAATCACAACTAAAAAAAATAAAAAGAAATTCCAAGTTCAAGGGACTATCTGTTTTCTATTCTATCTTATCATATTGGTTTTTACTGTATATTAGAGTCACCTCCAGAGTTCCTGACTTAGTAGGTCTATGGTAGGGTCTGAGAATTTTCAAGTCTAGTAAATTCTCCAGTGGATGCTGACATTGCTAGTCCAGGGACCTCACTTTGAGACCCACTGCTCTATTTAATGCCTAACATATGGTACTTCTGGAACAGACACAGACCCTCTGCCTATCTGACATCTCAAGATGGGAGAACTTGTCACTGATGGTGGTCTCCTATTCTGAACATGAGGTTGACTCCCCTGCTATTAACTTCTAGCTGACTAAAAGCTAAAAGGTGATTTTATTTTCTTCCTGTTCTTCATTAACAGCAGTGTTATTAGTGAGTCTCCTTCTCTTGTGAGGTCTGCACTCAGCCCCATATATGGCAGGAATGGGGTCCTGCCCTGCTGCTGACCTTCGTGCTGTGGTAAGCAAGCATGATGTACCCCGAAGCAGTGTGGTTTGTCTAGAGGGCACAGAAAGCCCAGTCATTCTGCCTGTTTTCAAGCCCACGTGCTGTCACTTCCTGTCTGTGTGGCCCTGGGCAAGTCACAGAGTATCTGCACCTCAGTTTCCCCATCCACATAACATGGGGTAATAATACCCACATACTATAGGGTGGCTAAGAAGAGGAAATGGGAAAAGTGTAAACAGGAGTCTTCTGTCAATGTCAAGTGTAAAGAACCCTACAAATATTAATAATTACAGTCTCATGAAGATTTGAATCTTAACAATTAGCTGTGGCTTTTTTTTTTGCCTTTCCAGCCTTAAGAATTTTTGTTTGTTTTTAAGACCTTCCTCACCCTCTCCCCAACAATGGTCTTTGAGTCCCAGTGCTGATGGTCCTGACTCACCTTGCACAGGTGTATTCACACACTTAGACGCAAGGTCCTTATTGTCAGCTCTAGACACTAAAAAGAAAAATATAATTCAAGGTAGATGCCATTAGACTCTAACATTACTTGATTCTAAGTCAAGATCTTCTCTATCTCAACAATCAAGAATAAAATAATAAGTAAGAAAGTAGTTTATCATTGATTTTCAACCAGCTAAGTTTCTGCAGGCCCATTTTACTTCTTTCCGTGCTCCTTGCCATTTGAACATTCAGTTCTATGCCAGAATCTCCCCCAAAACTCAGCTAAGTGCAGGGAATGAAAGTGGGGTCCCCTTTGACAGCAGGCAGAGACCACTGAAGATCTTGCAAAGATCCCTTTGCATTAGCTGTGTAATCCAACTCTTCCTGATATCTTTCGTCCCTTCAGAGCCCTAAGCTATGATAGGCGGTGATTATTTTCCTGAAAATATAAACATACAATTTTTGGAGGTGAAAGAAGCCTGTCTGCAGAGTCAGAGACTTGAACTATTCTGTTTTCAGTGTGACTGTGAACACATCATTTACCTTCCTTAATCCTCAGTTTTTATATCTGTAAAATGGAGATACCACTATTTACCCCACAGTTCTGTTTGGTTTTTTTTCAGATGCTAAATGTATGGTTTCTCATGCATTGTTTGGCATATAGTAAGTGTTCAGTAAGTCCCCTTTTCCCCTGGCTTTGTATTTCCACATGACTAGACTTCCACTGGGAGCTCTGGTAGCATAGTGCCTAAGGCACTTGACTGCTAACCAGGAGGCTGGCGGTTCAAACCCACCAGCCACTCCTCAGAAGGAAGGTTGGGCAATCCTACTTCCGTAGTGATAACTGCCTCGGAAACCCAAGGAGGGGTCGCTAGGAGTCGGGGCCGACTCTATGGCAAATAACAACAACAACAACAGACTTCCACTGGAAGAAGATTCCTCACCTGAGAGCCCTGCTCTTTGATCTTTCAGTGGAGAAGTGAGTTAAATGAATCGTAAATTTGTCAAAATGATCTGGGCACTTGTAGGCATTTTTTTTGAAGGCAGTGGAAGGAGAAAGACTTAGATTTTCTCTCCTGTGACAAAATTTTATTTCCTCTGTTGTCAGCCCTGGGGTAAGTCATCAAACTTGTTGTCCTGAATTAGTGGACAACTTTAATTCAAGAGTGATTTGTCACTCCCTATGGAAAACCATACATCCTGCCCTCCACTATCAGTGCATCACTAACAAAGGTTTGGATATCTTTCTGCCTACTCCTGTGTCTATATCTTAATTGCTTCTGACTTGGAGGGAATGGGCATGTTATTAACTAACTCCTTACCCTTCAACGATAGTTATTATCTCAATAAAAAGTCAACACCGACTTCTTAGGCTGTTTCTTCATCTCTGTTCATGGCCCAGAGGGAATAAAACCAGAGCAACGATCCCCTCCACTTACTGTAGTTCTCTACCAGGACAGGCACCAAACCACACTTGCCCGCTGTGTAGATGAATCCTCCGTCCAAGCTCATGGCATCAGCTGTTCCTTTCTGAAGTTAAAAACCAGATTTCTACCACAATAGTGAGGTCATTTTCCATCTTACCAAACCCTAGAAGTTTCCATCACATTAGCTTAATGTCATATATCCCTGTAATCATCCAAATTATGGGTCACCCACAGCTTCTGCCAGGTAAATATGGTGATGAGAAAACTGGTCATGACTTTGGCTTGGTTAACTCAGGAGCAATTGTTCAATCCAGGTTGTGCTCACTGGACATTCCCACATCCTCTCATGACAGCAAAAACTTACAGAGCCCTTACTATGCACCAGGCCAATAAATACTCCAAAAATATTATCTGTTATTACTATTAAAGATATTATTAAAATATATGATACTTATAATTTAAAGAAGCCCTAGTGGCACAGTGGTTAAATGTCTCTGTGGCCTTGTGGGTTGGCATGAACTCCTTCTGGAACCAGGTACCCTGCTCCCCACTGCCTGCTCAGCCAGCAGGAATACCACCTGGGTGCCCTGCCCCTGCCTCCCCCTGCCTCTGTCTCTTTTCTTTTTTAACTATTCCTTTTTTCTTCCTCCTTTTCTCCCACCCCCCC